GAATTTGCCTAAAGTCACCCTGCTAGAGATTAGAAAGAATTTGAAACCATGATACCCATTTGACTCTAGAAGTTCACTGTCATATTTATTAGGAGTTTTAGACAGGTGGAAGTAAGGTATGAAAATTATATTTTTAGAATATACATTTCCTGCTGCAGCAGATGAAATTCATGTTACATATATTCCCTTCAAACATTACGATTGCAGGCAATATGCACTTGCATGCTTATGAGGATCTGAAGGAGCCCCTGAGGAGCTATGGATAAGCACTTGTTTGCTGACTGGAAGGTCAGTGGTTGGAACTCACCAGTGACTCCACAAGAGAAAAGACCTGACAATCTGCTTCTGTAAAGACTGTAGCCTGGTAAACACTATCGGCCAGTTCTACTCTGTTCTACAATGTCCATTCTGTCTGAATAAAATCAATGGCAAAAAACAACAACAATACGAAGATCTAAGTATGTAGTAGATGGAGTGAGATTTGATGCTTGCTTACTCCCACAATCCTATGAAGTTATACTCATTTCCATTTCACTTTCTAGGAAATTGTCTGAACTGATTTAGGAAACTTGAAATCATGGAACAAGGAAATAACTCAAGAGTGACTGAATTTGTGTTGCATAGTCTTTCAGGTCCTCGAGAGCTACAACTTTTCTATTTTGCATTTTTCACACTTTTCTATTTATCCACATTGCTGGGGAACTTCCTCATTGTGTTCACTGTTCTTTCTGAACCTGCACTCCACACCCCCATGTACTTCCTTCTCAGCAACCTCTCCTTCATTGATGCCTGTGTATGCACTTTTGCCACTCCCAAAATGATTGTTGACTTCCTCATGGAGCGCAACACCATCTCCTTTGAAGGCTGCATTGCCCAGATATTATTTCTGCATCTATTTGTTGGGGGTGAAATGTTACTCCTTGTTTCCATGGCATATGACAGGTATGTAGCCATATGTCGACCTCTGCATTACACAGCCATCATGAGTATACGCAAGTGCACAGGCTTCGTGGTGGGCTCCTGGTTTATTGGGTTCCTGCACTCAGTAAGCCAGTTGGTCTTCATAGTAAATCTTCCATTTTGTGGTCCGAATAAAGTAGACAGCTTTTTCTGTGACCTTCCCTTGGTTATTAAACTGGCCTGCACTGATACCTATATCCTTGAGATACTGATTCGTTTAAACAATGATATACTGGGGCTAAGCTGCTTTGTGCTGTTGTTTATGTCCTACACAGTCATCCTGGTCACCATGAGACGTCGATCATCAGCAGGCATGGCCAAGGCCCGGGCCACCCTGACTGCCCACGTCACAGTGGTGATCCTCTTCTTTGGGCCCAGCGTCTTCATCTATGCCTGGCCTTCCAACAACTTCCTAGTGGATAAGATTCTCTCAATATTCTATACTGTTTTTACCCCTCTCTTAAACCCCTTGATCTACACATTAAGAAATAAGGAGGTTATGTCAGCAATGCAGAAACTGAGGAGGCGAAAAGTAAATTCCTAACAGTTTCTTGCTTTCCCTTGTCATAATAACAACCATAAAAAAGGCAAACACTTATATCCTTTTCTACTCAAAATATTTAGATTTAATTAAGAAATTAAATGGATTGAGACAATTTCTTGTATATATAAGGTAGTATATATAAGATGGATTGACAGGGTGGCTGCAGCAATTGGCTCAGATATAGTAGGGATTGTGAGTCTGGAACAGGATGGGGCAGTGTTTCCTTCTGTTGTACATAAGGTCACTATGAGTTGGAGATGACTAGATGGGACATAACAACAAACAAAAACAATAAAATTGATATTTCTGGCAATGTGAACTCTCACTTCAAGCTATACAAACTTAAGGAAAATAGTAATAGCTTTGGTGAACCCATTCCCTAACTAAGAAACCAAATAGATTCATGTTTTGAACCAAGTAAAAATATCATACTTAACTATGTGACAAACAACAAAACCTGGACACACAATGTTTGTTTGTCTCAGTGTATTAAATTTTAAGTGCAGAATTTCCACTCAGAGTTAGTGGTTGATTGACTACAAGCAAAAATAGTGCAAAAGAGGTACAGAAAATATAGGGGAAAAAAAGATATCTCTTTATATATATATCTATATATATATATATATATATATATATATATATATATATCTTGTTTATTTCAACAGCACTGCTAAATATATGACTTTGTTCCACACATTCTTTTACTAATTTCCAGGTCCTGCCACTTAATCTATACCACCTATGATAGTTAAAGTATGTGTCAACTTGGCTGGACCATGATTCTCAGCAGTATAGCAGTTATAATGTAGTCAACCCCCACGATGCGAGCTGATGTATTGTAATCATCTCCATGATAAAATCTGCTATAAGAAGCTAATTAGTGGAATGGGAGTTTCCTTAGGGGTGTGGCCCATTTCCAACATATATATGAATGTTCTGGAAAAGCTCTCTCTTTTTTTTTCTTAATGTGGACTCTGCATCTACCGCCTTACCATTTGACCTGTGGTTCTTTGAACTTGAGTCAATGGCCTGCCCTATTGGTTACTGATCTTGGGACTCATTAGCCTACCCAGCCTGTGAGTCACTAGCCTGCCATGTTACCAGCCAACATTGAATTCATCAGCCTCCACAGCCTATGAGCCAGCAGTTTGCCATCTGACATACCAATTTTGGGTTCATCAAACCCTAGAGTTACATGAGGCAGGAGAGACCTCCAGCCAGACAGCTGACCACCATCCTTGGGACTTGCAAGTTTTACAACTTCTTCAGCCATATATTTGAGATAAATCTCTTTCTATCTATCATCTACTGATCAATCAATCTATCATCTATCTATTTATCTATCAAGTTTCACTGGTTTTGCTTCTCTAGAGAACCTAGCTTAAGACCCCAAACACTGAAACACAAGGGAAAATACCTATTTTTCAAAGCTCTCAAAAAGTATAAGATCATTGTTTTGACTTTGTATAAGAAGTTGACACTTTCATTGTTTTTTTTTGAATTACTAGTATATATGAAATAATACAGGGCATTTTTCTTTGTTTTTATAGCATTTATTCTTATCATCAAAATCAAACCCCATTAGAAAACAGAAAAAATGGATTCTCTATGTTTTGTTCATAAAATAATTCTTATTTTAATTGCACTAAAATTACTTTTCAAAATAATTTTTTCTTCTATCATATTAATATTTCTATCAAATTCATGCTTCTATGATTCCACTTGGTAATATGAAAATTTATAAAATATTAAAGTAAAGTACATACTTAACTAATATTTTTAAAGCTTCAGAATAGTATTTAATTTACAAGTTTTTTTTTTTAAGCAGTCATCATTTTCACTGACATCACATTCTAATTTGAGACAATTATTTTCATCTTCTGACTTCTAGTATTGGAAAGAGAAAGGCATACCCCAAAGTGATCTTTTGCTTTTGAAATGATGTGGGGAAAATGGTGGTATGCAATAGGATTTAATATCCATTATACTCTAAATAAAATTCAATTCACTTCTCTCCTTTATTCATATTTATGCAAGTTCTTGTTGACTCTTTCTGAAATATAGTATTTAAAATAAAAACAGCATACCAGAGTAACATATGCTGATTAAGATAATGAAGTAAAACTTATATTTAATGATCACTATGAGTGGCGTAGTGCCCAAGGCATTTGCTAACCAGAAGCCTGGCAATTCAAACCCACCAGCTACTCCTCAGAAGGAAGGTTGGGCAATCTACTTCCACAGTGATATCTCCTCTAATACACTAGAAGGGGTTGCTATGAGTCAGATCCGACTCGAGGGCAGTGAGTTTGGTTTTGTTTGTTTCTATACTCTACAAGAGCTCTGGTGGTGCACTAGGTAGGGCATTTGGCTGCTAACCAGAAGGTTGGTGGTTCAAACCCACTAGTTGATCTGTGGGAGGTAGGTGATGTAATCTATTTATATAAAGATTTTTTTGTTGTTGTTGTTTTTGTTTGCCGTGGAGTCAGCCCCGACTCATAACGACCCCTGCTTAGGTTTCCGAGGCAGTATCACTATGGAAGTAGATTTCCCAAACTTCTTTCTGAGGAGTGGCTAGTGGGATTGAACTGCCAGCCTTCTGGTTAGCAGTCAAGTGCCTTAGGCACTATGCGACTACAACCTAGGAAACCCTGTGTGGGTAACTGTGAGTCAGAATTGACTCAATGGCAGTGGGTTTGGATTTGGTTTTTTTATACAGCTTACAAATTATATCTTTATATATTATTGCAATTGATTCTCAGAATATATCTATAGATTAGAAAATTATGACTCTATTCCAACAATGTTGTACTTCAGATAGCAGAGATCCATCAGTAAAAATACCTCTAATTCTAGAAGCACTCTTTCAAACATGCAGTTCTTCTCAGGGCATCTGAAAGAGTAGAAGCTTCCAGAGAATAATGATGGGAAAGGGATTTCACAGATTCAGAATGATGGAAGACCAGGGGAGGGTAATTTGGCCCTTTAAGAGTGTGAGGAGAACTAGATCTCTTGGATGTGAGACCCTTAAAGCCTATTCCTTCAGTGAAAGTGTGGTTTAGAAGAATGGTCTGAGCAGCACAAGGAAAAGACTAAAAATATATCCTTATAGGCCTGGTCTATGGTTAGAAAAATTATTTACTTTTTGAAATTATAATCATAGGATCATCCATGCATGATCTCAATTTATAATCTCTGCATAGGAAGAGGAACTTTAATTTGAAAACTTCAACAAAAAATTTAGTTCATTCCAGAGGTCAATGAAATGATTGGGGCATTTGGAAAAAAATAGACAAAAGCTATTGTGGTGGGCCACACCTTTAACACTGGCTGCACAGGATTTTGACACACAAAGTCCTGCTAAATTTGAGGGCCCAATCAAACTAATACAACACATGAGTAGCCTATCTACAAGTCACAAGAGTTAGCAGACAGAATAAATGATAGAGTAGCCTTCCTTCCCCACTTGAGTATGTAATAAATGTATGAACTGAGTATGTCTGAAATGGTTAAATATCCAAAATTGATCAAAAAGAAACAATATTGCTATGAAATAGAAGAGCAGGTGAGTAATGCTCTTGAGAACATGGTTTTTTCTTTCTTCTGTATTCCATCTGCTAAGTACCAATGAAAGCAAGAATGTTTTCTATAAAGCAAATAAGATTCTAAGAAGTCTTTACAAAGGAGTGAAGAAGATTCAAGTATTGGCCCAGTGGTAAGTCCCCTGAGTGTTCTATGCATTATATACATACATACATACATATACATATATATGTGTGTGTGTGTGTGTGTATGTATATATATACAAGCTAGATTCAGAAGAGGACGTGGAAGGAGAGATATCACTGCTGATGTCAGAGGGATCTTGGCTCAAAGCAAAGAAAATCAGAAAGGTGTTTTACTGACTATGCAAAAGCTTTTGATAGTGTGGCTCATAACAAATTGTGGATAACATTACGAAGACTGGGAATTCCAGAACACTTAATTGTACTCATGAGGAACCTGTACATAGACCAGCAGTGCCTAGGGATGGCCCTAGACAATAACAACTTATTCTTGGCATAATGCCTAAGGCATTTCACTGCTAACTAAAGACTGGCAGTTTAAACCCACCAGCCACTCTTTGGAAGGAAGATTGGGCAATCTATTTCTGTAGTGATACTGCTTCAGAAGCCCAAGGAGGGGTCGCTAGTCAGATCGACTTGATGGCAGTGAGTTTTTTTTTTTTTTTCCATTTTTTTTCTTTTACAGTTAGGAGCTAAACGTCCAAATCCAGAGTGCCAGCTGAAAGAGCTGGGTAAGGCCCCTTGATGTTGGGCTTCAGCTCTGTCCCTTATTCCAGGCCCACTGGAGTTGGAAACATTCCAAAACTCAGGCAGCTGCTGGCTCATGAGACTGATGAACCCAAGATTAGCAGATAAAATGGCAAGATCAGTAGGCAACATGGCAGGCCACTGGTTGAAATGCAGGAATCGGAGATGAAGACACAGTGAACTACAGGATCCAAATGTACCAAAGAGCTGGAGATTTTTCTCAAAGCTTCTCCATATATACTGGGAGCAGGTCACACCCTGAAGGTAGCTCCCTTTTGAATACTTAGCTGTTAGTAGCAGATTCCAAAATGGAAGTGGTTACAGTCCCATCATGGGAAATAACTACATCCAGCTGACAAGCCATTCAAAACTACAGCCCAGCCAAGTTGACACAAAACCTTAACTACCATACCCACTCATGCCAGCAAAGACCAAATAATGATCTCAGACTTCTACCCTCCTTTCATACTGCCCACCTCCCACAAGCAACCCATGTTCAGGACAAATTAGGACAACTTCATTCCCATGGAATCAGTGGAAGTAATATGGGTAGCAATAACAAGACATTCTTACTACTCCCAGTCAAGAAGATATCAGTGAAGGCCTAGCAGATATCCACAGCTGTCCAGACCATGTTCAATGACTGAAGAAAATTTATAACACTGTCTATCTAGTATGATTTAAAATATATGTAGAAGAAGTATTAAAGAAAATTGAATTATTAATGGTTGAAGCTGAAAGCACATAAAGGTTTGTATGCCTCCTTAAACTGGACAATGATAGAACAAGTAATAAATTATGTAGTTCTAATATACTATCCTCGGAAACCCAAGGAGGGGTCGCTATGAGTCGGGTTTGACTTGACGGCACATAACAACAACAACAAATATACTATCTAGAGTAACCACTACAAATGTTGTCCAAGGAAATGCATTCAAACTGTATGATTAAATCAAAGGACATTTTAATAAATATCCAAGTAACCCTCAAGAAGAAAACAAATGGAAACCGATAAACATTAGAAGAAATGCAGAAAACAAAAAATATAATAGCAGATGTAAGTCAAAACATATTAATAATTTCATGAAATATATATGGTCAGATATACCTCATAAAAGAGATTGATTTATATTCATTGTAAAATAAGCTTACAAGATTGCAAACATGGAACCAGAGACATAAATTGGCAAATAAGGACAACTACAAAACAGAAAGAGGGAAAATATAATATAGTTACAGAACTTCTAAATGGTGAGGAATTCAAGACAGTTGCAAGATAGAATGGACTGTTCTATACTTGGGGAGAAAATTATAAGTCACAGGGTAACCTCAAAGAAAAATAATAAACTTTCACAACAAAATAAAAAAGAGGATAAGCACAAATACTTAACAAATAGTAAAACTATAGCAATGAAAGAAATGATAACATGATTCATAAACAAAGTGAGCACAGCTCAAAAAATTATATGGAACAAAGAAATCAACAACATCTCAAACAAACACATAACAAAATGACAGCAACCAATTCATACTTGTAGATAATTACAGTGAATGTTGATGAATTAAATGCACCACTCAAAAGGCAGAGAGTTGCAGACTGTATAAGAAAACATGACCAGTCAATATGCTGCCTACAAGAGACACATCTTAGAGACACAGACAAAAATAGACTAAAAATCAAAGGTTGTAAAAAGATCTATCAAGGAAATAGCAACCAAGAAAGAGAAGGAGTGGCAATTTTAATTTCTTATAAAATTGACTTTAAGTCAAAAGACACCTTAAGAGATAAGGAAGGACATTATATTGTGATTAAAAGATCAATCAAACAACAAGATATTACCATCATAAATAACTATAGACCCAATAAAGAGCCCCAAAATACATAAATCAGAACAGAATTGAAAAGACAAATAGATAATTCCACAGTCATAGTAGGAGATTTTAATACATGACTTTCAATGAAAGAAAGAACAACTGGAAAGAAACTTAAGAAAGATTCAGAAGAATTAAGCAATACAATCCATCATCTTGATCTTATAGACATTTAAAGAGCATTTCACCCAAAAAGAGTACAATATACATTCTTTTCAAGTGCACATGGAACATTCTCCATAGTTAGGCTGTAAAGCAAGCCTTAATAAATGTAAAATTTGAAATACTACAAAGCAACTTCTAAGATCACAATGCTATCAAATTAGAAATCAACAACTGGAAGATCAATGGAAAAGAGCAAACACATGGAAAGTCAACAACACTCTCTTTAAGAAAGACTGGGTAAGAGAAGAAATTTAAATGAAATTAAAAATTCCTTGAATCAAATGAGAATGAAAACACAACATACCAAAAAATCTGGGACACAGCAGAAACAGTGATCAGGACCAATTTATAGTAGTAAATGCACACATCAAAAAAGAAAGCCAAAATCAACACCTTAAGCCAATCTCCAACAATAAGGAAAAAAATAGCAAGAAAAGTCTAACAGTCACCAGAAGAAAAGAAATAAGAAAGATTTGAGCAGAAATCAATAAAACAGAAAATAGAAAGACAATAGATTCAACAAGACTAGACGTTAGTTTTTTGAAAAGATTCATAAAATTGACAAACCACTGGCAAATTTATCAAAGGAAAAGAGGTAAAGAATAAAAATAACATGAATAAGACATTAATTGGGCAACATCATAACAGAACCAACTGAAATACAAAGGATAACATCAGGATACAATGAAGAACAGTACTCCAACAAATTTGAAAATCTAAAAGAAATGGACAGATATCTAGAAATAGACTACTTTCCTAAACTAACACAGACTGAGGTGGAAAAGTTGAACAGACCAATAACAAAAGAAGAAATTGAACAGATCATAAAGAAATAACAACAACAACAACAAAAAGTTGTGGCCCAGATGGTTTCACCACAGCATTCTTGTACCAGATGAATTATATCAAACGTTCAGAGAAGAAATGACACCAATCTTACCCAAACAATTCCAGAACATACAAAAGGATAAAATCCTCCCAAATTCACTTTATGAAGTAAGCATAGCATTGATACCAAAACTATGCAAAGTTATCAATAAAAAGGATAACAACAGACCAATTTCCCTCATGAATGTAGATGCAAAAATCTTCAACAAAATCCTAGCCAATAGACTCCAAAAACATATCCAAAAGATAATACATTATGATCAAGTGGGGTTCATATCAAGTATGCAAGGATGGTTCAACAGTAAAAAAAAAAATTGACATCATGCATCTGCATCACATAAATAAAACAAAGGAAAATAACCACATGATCATATCAATTGATGCAGAAAAGCCATTTGATAAAATCCAACATCCACTCCTGATCAAAACTCTCAGCAAAATAGGAATAGAAGGGGCATTCCTTAACATAATAAAGGGTATATATGCAAAACCAACAACCAACGTTATTCTCAATGGAGAGAGACTGAAACCATTCCCTTTGTTAACAGGAACTAGACAAAGATGCCCATTATCACCACTTCTATTAAACACTGTATTGTAAGTGCTAGCCAGGGCAATAAGGCAAAAAAGGGAAATCAAAAGCATCCAAATTGGTAAGGAAGAAGTCAAAGTATTCCTATTTGGTGAAGATATGATCCCATTCCTAGAAAACACAAGAGACTCTGTGAAAAATCTACTGTAACTAATTAAGAGATTTAACATAGTGGCAGAATACAGGATCAACATCCCAAAATCAGTTAGATTCCTCTACACCAGCAAAGAGATTGTTCAAAAAGAAATAAGGAAATCAATACAATTTACAATAGCTACCAAGAAAAGAAAATACTTGGGAACAAATCTTACCAGGGACACCAAAGACCTGTACAAAGAAAATTACAAAAGACTACTTCAAGAAACCATGAGATAACTACATAAATGAAGAAAATACCATGCTCACAAATAGGAAGATTGAACATTGTAAAAATGTCAATTCTACCCAACACTATCTATACATTCAATGCAATCCCAATCCAGATTCCATCAACATTATTTAAGGATATGGAAGGTCCAAACATTAGCTTTTTATGGAAAGGAAAGAGACCCTAGATAAGCACAGTAATATTAAAGAAGAAAAAGTAGGAGGTCTCACACTCCCAGATTTCAAACATACACTATACAGCCACAGTAATCAAAACTGCCTAGTATTCATACGATAACAGACACATAGACCAATGGAATAGAATTGAGAACCCAGATATAGATCCATTGATGTATGGTAAGCTGATCTTTGACATTAAATGGGGAAGAGATTGTCTGTTTAACAAATGGTGCTGGCAAAAGTGGATATCCATTTGCAGAAAAAAGGAAAAAGATCCGTACCTCACACCATACACAAAAACTAACTTCAGACAGATCAAAGACTTAAATGTGAAACCCAAAACTACAAAGTTCCTCAAAGAAAAAATAGGTGTAAATTTGTTGTTGTTGTTGTTGTTGTTGGTATGTGCCATCGAGTCGGCCCCAACTCATAGCGACCCCTCCTTGGGTTTCCGAGGCAGTATCACTACAGAAGTAGGATTGACAAACCTTCCTTCCGAGGACTAGAGGTGTATGTGTGGAATTAGCCATTAGAGAGATACAAATCTAAACAACAAGGAGATACCATTTTGCCCCAGCCCTAGTAGCAAACTTCCATGAGAGAAAATAATAAATGCTGGTGAGGATGCGTAGAGGTTGGGAATCTCATACACTTGTTTGTGGGATTTTCAAATGATGCAACCACTGTGGAAAGCAGTATGGTGAATCCTTAAAAAGTTGGAATTAGAAGTACCATTTGACAATATGGATATACACTGCTAGGTGTATATCCTAAAGAAGTGAGAACTGGGACAAAAATAGATGTATGCACACCCATGTTAATTACAGCACTGTTTACAATAGCAAAAACATGAAAATAACCTACGTGACCATCAACAGAAGAATGGATAACCAAACTATGGTACATACACACAGTAGAATA